TAGAAATTGTTTCGCTGGATGTGTCAGAATTTTATATACCAAAATTTGAATATGAAAATTTTGGAGTCAGATAATGAACTTAATTAATTCAAGAATGCAAGTACAATCTCTGAAAAATTTGTCAATAAAAAAAATCCTTTGATTCTTTTCTTTTACTTCAAGGGTCATGATGACTTATTCTTGAATTGAATGAGTTTGATCTTCTCCAATTTTAAGGCTTGATTTATTGGAATTTTGGAATTCTTTAAATTTTTATTCTTCTGACAAGTTCTTGAGAATATTGGGATTTGATTTCTTGAAATTCTTTACGCATTATTGAGACTTCAATTCTTTGATCTTCAAATCTTGATATCTTGAAATTTTGGAGAGCTTTCATTTTTCATACACCGTCTTTCTTGGGTTTGTTTTGTTCTTTAGATGTTTTGGATTTGATTTGTTGAAATTCTAGAGACTTTAAGGAGAGTTTTGGAGATTTTATTTGTCAAAATTTTCTCATCCCTAAATATATGTGATATGACCTAGAGGAAGATTATATTTGTAGTGCTAATTAAGAAAGTTCTATAAGACCTCAATTTAGCACTTGAAAGTTTGACTCATCCGTCAGTACATGATCTCTCTCTAAAGTATAGGGTTCAAATTCTCCTTGATCCAAATATAAAACTTCAAAATTATTTTATTTTTAACTTTACTAGAGATGAATATGATGACTCTGCAAATTTTTTAACTTAAATAGAGATAAATATGATAGTTGAATTTTAATTGAACTATGAGTTTTAAAAATTTGATTGATCAAACCATATGTCTTTAGATTGAATATGTCAAATGGGTTGAAAAGTCTTCACTTAATTTATTTAAGGGTGAGCAAAATTTGATCAAAATCGAATTAATTGAATTAACCAACAAATGCAATTAATTCAGTTTGATTAATTTAGTTTGATGCAGTTAAATCGGTTAAAAAGTTAGATTAAGTTGATTCTGGTCAGTTAAAAATTTTTTAAGTCAGTTAACAGATTACGAAATTAATATATTGTAAAGGTTTTTATTACATGTATGCACTCACACAATTTTTCTACACATATATATGAATGAATGAAAGGCTAGATTTAATCATCAAAAGAGTTTTTCTTACATGTATTCACTCTCACACTTTTTTCTATACTTATGTATGAATAAATGACTTAGATTTAATCTTCAATCATTGAAGAATAAAAATTAAAATACACTTTATTTAAATATTAACATTATTGATAAAACTATAATCATACAAAAAGTTATTTAAAATTAAACATAATGCAAAATATAATGAAACCTATACCCTAAATTTTAAATTAATAATATATTAACATATTAATGTAACTTATTATATTAACTTATTTTTATATTAAGTTATTAATATATTATTCTTTATATAGCATATTTATTGATATACAATATACAGTCTATACGCTATAGAGTCTAAACTATAGTAACTTACTTTTTATAAGCTATTAATTAACTATAGTAATATAGTATAATTTATATTACATAGTATGGTATATTAAATTATTAATATTAGTACACTATAGTAATATAACTTATATAACTTAAGCAACTTATATAAGTATTAGTATTATATAGTAACTAGATGGGTGGCGTGCGTGTTGCCGTGGGTTATTGAATTTTTAATAAGTTTTTAGTAAAAATATAAAATTAGTTTGAAAGTATATTTAAATATATAAATGTTGGTTGCATTGTACTTATTCATCAAATTTTATTATTTAAAACCAGTACTTGTTCAAAATAGCTATATTATCATCGATAATATGTTTATTTTTGTATTACATCATAGCATCATTTATCTATACATAATATACTTTTCAGCATGCACAAGAAATAGTAAACAGCAGCATTTGTTGCGTTTACAATGCAAAGCAACAGTTCATTATTTACACACACAAACTTTAGATATATATTGGAGAGTACTATAGGAACATTGATCAACAAAATGAGATTACAAAGGAGCTACAAAAACACATTCCATATAAATTGCACTATAGCCACAAAAATTATAAATGGTTGGATAGATGTTATAGGTAATATTGTTTAAACAACTTGTTAAAGATACCTATTTCATTAGGTGTGGAAATTAGATTTCCCAAAAAATCACAACAGTATAGAAATGCCATCCCTGTTTGATTTTCAATTTCTATAGAATAAAACAGTAAGTAAAATCAGATAATACTCATCCAAAATTCTATATGTAATGAATAAGAGCAGAGATATTCACAATATATATCACCATTAATTTCAATAATATTATGAGCAATCTTGATAGTAGAAAGAACAAAACTTGCATGAAGAAACCAAGATGGTTTTTAAACTTAACAAACAACATAGAAATACTATCAAACATATTCAAGCTCAATAGCTTAATAATTAAACAAAATTTGGTAATAAAAATTTTTAAAGCAGAAAGCCAAAACAAAACTTTTGTTTTTCTCTCAAAATATATTAAAGAACTAATAAAAATTAAAGCAAGTGGGTCGCATAGATCTCCAACTCAAGCAAACAATACAGCAAAATAACAAAACGTAGAAATCAAAGAGAAATTAACAAAAAGAAAGTAATTTTCAATTTCTATGCAACAAAATAGCAGGTGAAATCACAAAAGAAAATTGAAAAAGCAAATATATAAGTTATATTGTTTGGTAGGTTAAAACTTTATACGAAAAAAATATAATGATCAACAAATAAAATACAACAATGCAGTTAATCATAGCAAACAAAATTATCAACTAATAATTGCCAAATGAATCATCAAAGCAAAAATGTATTTAGGAAATCGATTATGATTCCAGACATTGATTCACATTATTCAATACAATTAACATGGATACTCAAGCTTTTAACTTTTAATAGCTCCTTCCTCTTAAACCTATTTAGTCTTGCTTGATGAGTGACATCCATTATAACACAAAAGTTTAAATGATAAAAAAAAAAAACCTACAAATAAGAAATTATATATATTTCAACTGTTATGATAATAAAAAGAACAAATAAACCAATGAACATAGTATCTTAGCCACAAAATATAAATGAGCAGCAAAATTAATAATTGCTCACATACATATAATTATAAGTACATAAACAATAGAACAATAGAAAAAAATGAACAAATAATAACAAAATACTAATTATAAAGAGAAAGGAGCTTGAGTACTTTATAATATACAACACTACACCGACTTGATATTACACCACGGAAAAGATAAACAACTGTTAAAGATAATAGTAAAAATACATCAAATTTTACTCAACATTGTTTCATGCAAGTAAATTTAACATAACCAAAAGTATGTATAAGCATAATACAAATCATAACCAAGCGGAGATAAATGTAGTAAACAAACTGGCAGCAACTGAGGAATGATCATATGTTAATCATTGAAAAAAATTTTATTCCAATCAAATCCTTCCGGAAGGGCTTTTAAATTTCTATAAGTACTTTGAGAAAACTAAAATTGAAAGAAATTAATAATTGTACAAACAACCTGACAATTATGCAAACTTAAAAAAAATCTTTTATGAATATAACAATACGAAGATTAAAATAACCAATACTTTATAAATGTAACGCTTGTGATAGCCATTTTAGTTCAACTATAAATGCAAGTTGAAGAAAGGAAGTGAAATAAAAGAAAATTGAATAACATGAACAAACATATTTTAATTAAACATAGAAAAACAAATAAAGAACTTGGATTTTAAGGTAGCGAGAAAATTAAAAAGAAAAAAGACTATGAAAAATAACATCAGCAAAACTATAAGATCAAGAAATCCTCCACCACCCCCCCCCAAACTATTTCAAATGTTCCGCTGAAGAGAAAGTAAACATTTGTTGAGAAAATTACAAAAGTATTAGTTTATAATAAATAAGTGAAATAGGATAGGGAAAAAAATACAAATATAGAGGACGAAAAACCATCCTCCGAAATAACTATAGCAACAAATAAAAATCATAGCAAAAAAAAAATTTCATTAATAATAGAGGATGAATAATAACAGTAATGAAGATTAGAAACTGCAACCAATCAATGCAAAAGTATCAAAACATATTGTATATACGATAAAGACTACATCTTCCTTAATGTCAATGCTTAAATTCTATTATTTACAATTTAAGTCATTTTAATTTAATTTAATTTTTAAACCATGGATTAGATTGGATAAAAAAGCATTTTACGGTTCTGATCAATGCCAGATTAATACTAAAAAGAATCGATTAAGTTTGATGGGGTGCAAACAATTTGTTTATTGGATTTAATATAAGAACCGAATTGTGCCAAAGCAATGTGACTCTTGCCACTACTCAGTTGGAATTTTTTTCTGCCTGAAAAAAAAAAAAGACCATGAGTCAAATTGGCTAAAAATCTATTTAGCCGTTCAGATCAATATCAGATTAATCCTAGAACAAAAAAAAAATGATTAAGTTTGATGGGGTTAAAACAATTTGGTTACCCAACCTAATATAAGAACCAAATTAGTCCAAAACAGTGTGTTTCTTGCCACTGCTTGTTTGAATTTTTTCTCACCTACAACAATAAATAACAACAAAAAAGGGAAAAAAAAGGATGTTTTAAAAATAGATAAAAACGTAAGTAAAGTATGAAATCAATAGCCTTTAATTTGTAATGCAAGGTGAAGGAAACGAAACAAAAACTAAAAAGTAAAATCTTAATCTTAAAAATGAGAAAACTACAAAAATCTGTGCTCCATTTTTAATTCAATGTTGACTTTGTAGTAGTAGAGAAAATATAGCAAAATATTTGCTACATAAATTCTAGACTTTTAATTTTAAAAAATTATAAGAAAAATTTACAAAAACGAAGGATCAGAAATTTTAAAAAGTCATTCAGCATTTCAGAATGGAAAATGAGCTGAAAATAATAAAAAGAATTAAAAAACACAAATGGCCAAATACTGAACTAAACAACTAATAAAAAAGCAAGAGTAAAAAAACCAAATATTAATAGTATTCTTATTAATATACTAATTAATCAATAACAATATATTATTATATATAACAATATACTATTATACTATATATTACATGACTTCTTACTATACTTATATACTATATAAGTATATATTAACTATATATAGTAATATATTAATACTTATTAATATAGTAATTAGTCAAAATTTGTATATTAAAATTATACTATATTAGTATATTAGTAAAATTATAATTAATAATTTAATATGTGGTATCATAAAGTACATTATTAATATATTATTAAATAAATTTAAAAAACAAAAAAAAAGTTAAAATAGTTAAAATAGATTTAATAGACTAAAATCAGTTAATATAACGTCGGTTAAAATCCTTAAGTCAGTTCGATTCAGTTAAGTTTTATAAAAAAAGTCAATTAAGCTAGTTAATGATATTTTTTAATCAAATTAACTGATTTAAATGAGTACTCACTCTTAAATTTATATGGTAAAACCTTGAAAGAATATAATTGGTTACCAAAATAAAATATAAAGAAAATTTGAGAGACATGCGCCAGAAATTCTTTCCTTTTGCAATAGCCTTATTTGTATTTTTGCGAAATTCAATATGCTTTTACTTAAATCATTGTGGTAATAAGTGGAGAACTAAACGATGAATATTAATTTTGGATAAATTCAATGATAGTGATACTCAAATCATTGTGGCAATACATGGAGAATCCGATGTTGAATATAAACTTTCAGTAAAATTCGAGATAACGTCACTCGAAATAAACCTTCACTTGAATGCTTCTAACTTTTTGGTTTCTAGTAAAGCAAATAAGAGGCAAGGGAGAACCATGTTGGATACTTCTGGAGCTTGTCTTTGAGAAAAAAGACAACTTGCATGTTTTTGACGCCCGTCAACCAAAGATGGAATTTTATTCTTTCTTTATCATATTGTCAAATGGAGGACCATTTTCAAGATCTTGGTCCAATACGTAAGTGAATTAATGATTACTATCTCCTGCAACAATGGACTGAAAGTAATGCACAGATTCTGATAAACTTTGAGGGCGTTGCCAGATATCCCTGATTGCACCGCAAAGTTGTGAAAATACAGACCAAGTCAACTAATGATGCATCCATGGATATCACTTTGCCTCACCATCAAATCAATTATGTGATTCAATTCATCTCTTCACCTGTCTAAGAAAAGCTTCATGAAATCTTAGTAACTTTTAATTTTGACATTAACCCTCCTATGGCCATCAGCACAGAATGCATTGTTATAATCTTGGCTTATCAACTCTGTTATTTTATTTAATAAATGTATTGATTGCTTAGTTCAAAGCTCTCTTTATCATCAGATAAGCCCACTTTGTACGGTCAGATTTATGAGGTCGGGCTATGAGAGATCCTACGTTAGATCTTTGACACTGATGGTGAAGATTGAAACTATTGTATATATTGGAGATTGGAAATTAGTTTTTTAGTTCTTTGTATGGCCAACTAGCATTAATGATTTTCTTGATTGCAGTCTGGAAGTTAGAGCTACAGCCTGCAGTATGTTTGGTTCTGTTTGGAACTTGAAGAGCAACAACTACATTGTCATTTTCAAGTTGACAGCAATTTTTTTGTCAGGGTATCAGTGACACATGAAATTATTTTGTGGCTACTCTAAAAAGTCCCGTGAACCAACAGGGACCCCAACTATTCCAGGGCCAGTGGAAGTTTTACAGCACGAAAAAAGAACAAAATCAACAAACCTAAGTAAAACAAAACTGGAAAACGTCATATCTTGGAGCTTTCATACATGCAAATTACCCTTCCTTTTGAGCTGTTTGATTGCGGGAAATAAACCTATATTCACGGCTGCAACTTTGAAGTTGACTCGGTTTTGCATGAATGACATAAAGAAGGCATGGTGGGGCAGGCTACAAATATTGATAAGCTTTCTTCGTTACTGAATTTACACAATTTAAAGATGAGATTTATTTATTATAATCGGAGAATATAAGAAGTTCAGGAAGTTTTATAAACTGCATATCCTTAATCTTACCCTGAGAGTTTCCAGGAAGCAAAAGAGGCCTGAAATATGTCTTGGTTTTTCCTCTTATTCTTGCTCGGTTTCTTGTTTAATAATTTCTCCGAGAGTAGCCATGATCAGAAACAATCTGCAGTTGTTGTTGGAACTGTCTACTGTGATACATGTTTCCAAGAGGATTTCTCGAGGCCTAGCCATTTCATTTCAGGTTTAACTCCTAACTTCTATAATTACCTCCAATTTCCCAAGTTTGATCTGTTAGTCTCAATTGATATAGTTTCTTGGATTTTGTTTGCAGGGGCATCAGTTGCAGTGGAATGCAAAGATGGGACTTCAAGGCCATCTTTTCGGCAAGAAGTGAAAACCAATGAGCATGGAGAATTCAAAATTCATTTGCCTTTTTCAGTTAGCAAACATGTCAAGAAAATCAAGGGATGTTCAGTGAAACTGATTAGAAGCGGTGAGCCATACTGTGCTGTGGTCTCAAGAGCAACTTCGTCTTCACTCCATCTCAAGTCAAGAATGCACGGAACTCATATTTTCTCCGCTGGGTTTTTTACCTTCAAGCCACTTAAACGACCGACCCTATGTGGCCAAAAACCAAGTATTCAAAATCCAAAACAACTCAAAAACAAAGAACCTCCAGCACAAAATGTACTCCATCCTGACTGTTTCTTATCAACACCATCAGTTTTTCCACCTGATGACCCTGTGC